TAACATGAACAAATTGAAATCTTTCTGATAAATAAGATTTGAACCAACTTAGCGCAGTTCCTTTAATCCCAATAGCATGTTGAAGTCTCTGCAGTAAGATGCTGTGATTAATGGTGTCAGAAGCAGCACTGAGATCTAAGAGGACAAGTATGGAGACAAGTCCTTTGTCTGAGGCTAGGAGAAGATCATTGGTGACTTTCACCAATGCGGTTTCTGTACTATGATGGACTCTAAATCCTGACTGAAAATCCTCAAACAAATCATTCTTGTGCAAGTGGTCACATAACTGCTTTGCAACAGCTTTTTCAAGGATTTTGGAAATAAATGGGAGATTGGATATTGGACTATAATTAGCTAGGACACCTGGGACAAGAGTAGGCTTTTTGAGTAGAGGTTTAATTACTGCAACTTTAAAAGCCTGTGGAACATGACCTGTTAATAGAGAGAGGTTAATCAGATCTAGTATGGATGTGTTGATTAGGGGAAAGACGTCTTTGAGCAGCCTGGTCGGGATGGGGTCCAGGAGACTAGTTGATGATTTAGATGAAGCAATTGTTGAGGTCAACTCAGAGAGATCTATGGGAGAGAAGTAGTCCAAGTATAATTGAGGTCTTACAGGTGTTTCTAAAGCCATTGTAGTAGATGGCACATCCATGAGAGCTGTGGGAATGGTCCGACCAATTTTTTTCTCTAATAGTTGTGATTTTATCTGACTAGATACTGGATTTTGGGTAGTGATCACACAAAGAATTGTCTGATCACAGTCGAGGTCACTCTGAGCAGGAATCAGGTGAGAAGTGTAGAAAATCTCTGAAGGAAATTTTTTTATGGGAGCTCCAAATGCAGCCACAGCCACTTGCTGCATCCACAGTGTGAGTGAGGGTGCCCGTAGATACTGCTGGCTACTGCTGGCTGTGTGCTGGGCACTAAAATGTCAGAGGTTGGCATGTTTATTATGGCGTATGCAAATTAGAGACGCATGTATATACTTTGCATTAGTTTTGTGACATGTCAGCACTGAACTGGCTACCTAAAGGTAGGCTAGTTTGTTCATTGAGTGATTGTTGTAAAGCATCCACACTATTTTATTTTGTGGTTTGATTCTATAATAAGAGTGTTTTACATAGGTTCGACACAGGCTGGACGTGGGCTGCATTCATGGGTAGGTGAACATCATGTTCGGTCGTCTCTGCCTGGTGGACTGCCTCAGAAGGGGAAAAGATTCAGGATGGGGTCCTTGCCGTGCTTCAGGATGGGATTCCGATGCTGGCCCAGAATCAGGTTCTGATGCTGGTCTGAGATCGGGCACTGGAATGATTCAGCTCCTTCCTCTGTCACGAGGCCAAAGAGAAGATCTATTGGGAGGCGAGGATGTCCCCATACAACAGGTAGTAGGGGGAATAGCCTGTAGCCTCATGCTTTGTGCAGTTGTATGCATGAATGGCATGGGGCAGATGCTCTTTCCGATTCTGCTTTTCTTTCTCCCCTAGTGTGTGTAACATCTGTAACAATGTGCGGTTCAGTCTTTCAGCGGGGTTGAACTGCGGGTGGTAAGATGAAGTCCTTGAATGACCTACCCCTGCAAGCTGTCTAAGGGATTTGAACAGTTCATTTTCAAATTTCCGACCCTGATTATGATGGAGTTTGGCGGGGTAACCAAACCTGGGAATGAAGTCGTTGAAGAGTCGGTCGGCTGCTGTCTTGGCGGCTTTGTTCTTGGTGGGGTAAGCTTGTCCAAACCTGGTGAAGTGGTCCACCACGATTTAGGATATACTCGTACCTGCCTCAACAGGTCTCCAAGTGCAGGAAGTCAATGCAGACAAGTTCGAGGGGCAAGCTGGATGTTATACTTCCCATAGGTGCTCTTTCATGTGTTGTGGGTTTTTTCTGCTTGATGCATGAGCACTTCCTGGTAACATACTCCTCAATCTCTCTCTTCATGCAAGGCCAGTAGAATTGCTTTTTGGCTAGGCTCAAAACTTTCTCCACTCCGACATGGCCCATGTTGTTATGGAGGTGTGTGAGAGCTGTCTGTCGATAGGTGGAAGGCAAGACAAGTTGTTTTCTGTCTATGGTCTTTCGGTAGAGCAGGCCGTTCTCTATATGCAACCGACTCCACTCTCTTAACAGTCTTTTTGTGTTTGTGTCAACTTTAACTCTGTCGTTTTCTATCAGTGTAACGTTCTCTTTCATTTCCAGGACTTTCCCGATGGCTGGATCTGCTCTTTGCTTTTTGCTCTTGGACTAGTTATTGTCCGTGAAAACTGTAAAATGTGGGGCATAGAAAAGATGGTCCTTGAACTTGTCACAAACTGTCCACTTGAGGGCCAGAAACTCAGGTTTCCTGCTGTGCAAGTGGTAGTTTTGTTCTGCCGGTGTTAGCGTGTGTGACCTAAACCCAATCACTCTCATCTTGCCGTCTTGGTTCTGATACAGGACTGCTCCGAGCCCTATTTGGGAAGCGTCTGTGTGGAGTATGAAGGGGCTTGTAAAGTCGGGGTATGCTAACACTGGTGGCTGAGTTAATATGTCCATTAGATGCTCAAGAGTGTTTTGGTGGTCCTCGTTCCACTGTACTGGAGCTCGAGAAGATTGCTGCAGGTACTTTGTTCTGCCTCTGGATGGTTTGGGTGGCAGTGTGTCTGACTTGGCCTGAAGCAAGTTGTACAAGGGTTTGGCAATGCAGGAGAAGTCCTGCACGTATGTCCGGTAGTGACTCAGGAATCCAAGCAGCTGCCTAACCTCTCCGACCGTTTGTGGCCTCTTGTGTTTTAGCGCCTGCACTGCCTCAGTGTCCTTGGGGTCCACTTTCACTCCATCTGCGTACACTAAACAACCAACATATGGGACCTCTTTGCGGAACAGCTCACACTTTTCTGGCTTCAACTTCACACCATGGCGTTTCAAGGCTTGGAGAACTTTGCGCAGTACTTGGACATGTTCATCAAATGACTTGGAAAAGCAAAGCACGTCGTAGGTAGGGAACACAGTACTCGTCGCAGAGCATGTTAGTAGCTGAATAAACCTTTGTGAAGTTAGGCCTACATTGCACTACCTGCAGTAATTTTTACAGTGCCTTGCGAAAGTATTCGGCCCCCTTGAACTTTGCGACCTTTTGCCACATTTCAGGCTTCAAACATAAAGATATAAAACTGTAATTTTTTGTGAAGAATCAACAACAAGTGGGACACAATCATGAAGTGGAACGAAATTTATTGGATATTTCAAACTTTTTTAACAAATAAAAAACTGAATAATTGGGCGTGCAAAATTATTCAGCCCCTTTACTTTCAGTGCAGCAAACTCTCTCCAGAAGTTCAGTGAGGATCTCTGAATGATCCAATGTTGACCTAAATGACTAATGATGATAAATAGAATCCACCTGTGTGTAATCAAGTCTCCGTATAAATGCACCTGCACTGTGATAGTCTCAGAGGTCTGTTTAAAGCGCAGAGAGCATCATGAAGAACAAGGAACACACCAGGCAGGTCCGAGATACTGTTGTGGAGAAGTTTAAAGCCGGATTTGGATACAAAAAGATTTCCCAAGCTTTAAACATCCCAAGGAGCACTGTGCAAGCGATAATATTGAAATGGAAGGAGTATCAGACCACTGCAAATCTACCAAGACCTGGCCGTCCCTCTAAACTTTCAGCTCATACAAGGAGAAGACTGATCAGAGATGCAGCCAAGAGGCCCATGATCACTCTGGATGAACTGCAGAGATCTACAGCTGAGGTGGGAGACTCTGTCCATAGGACAACAATCAGTCGTATACTGCACAAATCT